ATCTGGACCTGAGCACAATGACCAGTCAGGAGCAAACAAATCGTGTTTAAAGATTTTATCCGAGGGAAGTATGTTTTGTGTGACTGTGACACTACTTTGCTTACGAAGGTCTGGCTACCCAACTTTTTCATTTCAGTAATAAAGTTGGACGCTAGAAGCGATCTGTGCATTCACCTATGTTCGTTTTCGATAAGATTTCGATGGTCGTACGATCTGAGCACTGCGGCCACATTCTTATTCTTTAGTTCGCTGTCGATGCAAGCAATTCCTCATTTTCTTCCATCCACGGCTGTTTCGTGATTTTTGTCTCATTGTAATTTCACAGTCCGCGGAGACAATCTCATCTAACGCCGTGGAAATTGTCGACGTATGTAGACCGTTCTATAGCTGCACACACTTTGAAAAGCGGTTAATGTGCTTATAAGAAAAATAATGTAATTGAGCGCCCCTGAGTTCATTTCTAGTGCAAAATAAAAGGATCTTCAAGACAGTGAGCGATGGAGAATGTACGAATTACCTGAATAATGCTCACAATAGGTGTTATTATTATATTCAGCATCCTATCGCTAACGCCATCGAGTTAGCGAGCGAGCAGTGAACTTCCTGAACGATAATAAACGAGTTTGAGTAGAAAGGATCTATATAAAAAAACCATCACTAGAGGGATTAATACAGAAGTCAGAGGAACCGAACCCTTCCGCTGTGGCGGCTAAATTCACATTGGGAAGTTTCATCACCAAGCAAGGAAATAGTACAATGGAGAGGAGATCAGTCCCACCCCAAAGGTTTGGCAGAGGCGATCATTACATTTCACTGTTGACTAATGGATCTGTAATCCCAAAACATCTGTTTTAGTGTTCTAAAACGCTTATTGACTTTGCAACCATTTCGATCAAATATCCTGTTCACGCAGTTACTTTGTGACTACTTTGTCCCTATTCATTTGGCTGACGTCAACGGACTCGGAATAACAATATGCTCTTTTGAGTCGGCAACATTTTAAGGCCATTGCAAACGCCCTATGACGAGCCCTCAAGCGTTCTATCGGGTTCGCAATTTCTCTTGCCGACCGCACTGGGGCGCAGCCAACAAACATCTCGGAGGAGAATTATATCAGCTCACCTTCGTCCGCCCGTACGAGCCAGCCTTCTACAACAACCGCAGTGCCTCAAGATATTTCTCCGCCTAGGATAACACCTGAAAACCATGCGCATTTTTTACCTCTCCCGCGTTACTCCGCCATCTGTGCCCGTTGGTCGTCGTGCCTTTTTTTCATAATCGCTGCCGACTTGTGCACTGGCCTAATGTTTGTATTATTATGTCCCAATTTGTTCTTTTGAACTGCACTCTCCAAGGAGGAGAGTATTAATGTGACATAAATCCTGGTGTAAACATGCCTTAACTTTAATTAAGAGTCATACTCACACCACCACTACGCGGCTTATTTATTCCTCATTTGACTGACATCAATAGCCCAGGAATATTCGCTTCGCCAGAGGACTGTTTGCGTATTTTCTACAAACTCGCCAGCAGCGAAGCGAAACGGAAGGACTAAATATACACGCCGCCCGTTCGACTTGGGCAAAACTAGGAGTGATGGTTAGGGGCTACTTGAAAGGCTCCGGAATGTCATTTCAATTGTTAAACCACGAAGACGGCCATAAGTGTGAGCGAGAGTCTACAGAGGGGTCTGAGCTATGCAAAAAGAAATTCCAGCTAGAATACTGGGCAAGAAGTGTAATAAACGCTGGGGTCCGAGAAGGCGCTTCGAAAGTTCGGAATATGAGTAATTGGACTGGAAGAGAACAATGAAGTCGTTAGAACATCCCAGGTAAAATATATGACCATCTCTGTTTCGAATACCAATAAGCTATTTGACGACCTAAGTTCAAGTCTATTTCAAAGAAAGGCATACTTAGAAACCAGCGAAAGTACAATGGTGAAGTAAGGACCAGAAAGAAGTTGCGAGCGTTACAATGCCTATACGTTACTACAAGGACGTCTCAGACATTTGAAAGGGGCCATTTCTCCGGAACGTATTGGAGAAAATCATCTGCCTCATTAAGCCTTCTAATGAAGAGACTTAGGGCCACACTTCCCAATGTTGCGATTTGCGAGTCAGTGAATAAACCAGCTGTTAATTTGGTTCAGACTCCCTTAATGCATGTGCATTTGTTCGCCAGACTTGATGGCTCCCCAGAGTCTGACGTCGTCAGCAAGTATGAGTGCGTTGCAACCAAGACTATCAACGAAGTCGCTGGTGAAGACTGCGAAGAACAACAGCCTATGCCCAGAGAACGGTGGTCACCACGGGATATTACCCACCCCTCCCCCAACCTGCCGCGGCCGTATTTGGCGCTTATCCGCTAGAAACATGAGCTTGACCGTACTTATGGGCATTCAGACTGTAATCAACAGCCATATCTAAATCGGTGCTCAATCTCGGCACCACTATTTGGCTCTCGCGAACTTTCAGTTGTAGTTGGTTTCGCCGACATATTGATGCCCCCCGTAGTTACGTTGTAGTCAGTCAATGTAAGAGGACTCATCTTAGCTGAAAAACGTGTTTGTCGAGCGCAACATCGGATGGCGTAATTTCAAATGCGGTCACTGTGGAATTTTAACCTCAACATTTCAGTTGCCTACGAGACATCCTAGCACAATGTAAGCTGGTTCACTCTTTCGGATCTGCCCTTTAGAATGGGCCTTTCCAACTGACAGGCACTCTCCTATATTCGTTTACTTTAACTGGACTAAAGTACGGTCCAAACCAGCCAATCTGGCAGCCGGTGTGCTGCAGGGAGTGCTTACCTGTCTGAAAAGAATAAACAGAGAACCTTTAGGGTTGTATTAGATAGTAGCTGTCAAAGAGTGTGATTCACGGCGATTTCTGCGGTCCTGTCGTCCCTATTATCCAAAGTTCGCCAGTGGGTATACAGCTGACAACATAAGCTTGATTGAGGTTTAAGTAATGGCAAAAGGCAATCAGATCATGAAGGAAACGAGTTCAGTTCGGTTTATTGAAGGAAACATTGGCGCGCATTCTGGTACCCCATTCACAATGTAAATACATTATTTGCGAAAATGACACTACTCGGAAACAGTCTTACAGTTACGTGTTACACGTCCTAATCCAGTATGATACTGGGCCTTCTGAGAGGACGCAACACGCTTCAAAGCCGAAAGCACCATTTTTGCGCGCTATCCTAACGGACACTTTTCGCTTACTTTTGTACTTGAACTTCTTCTCGGCAGGCTTTGGCCACCTCACAGTACCGCGCCAGCATTAACATGGGCCTCTCTCAAGCCTTTATTCTGAGCACTCCATCGAAAAACAAGAATGCACTCATGCCTCGACCGGATTGTTTAAAACGGCAATGTAATCAGCGCGCACTTCGAGGGGAGCAGCCGTCCTATCATCCAGATGTGCTACATAGACTTCTACGAAAAGAGTCGACTACACATCCCACTCATGATATTCGGCGCCTTTCTCATATTGCTGAGCTCACTGATGATCGCACTAGGAGTGGCGAGGGTTAGGGAGGACGTCTGGGTTGCAGGAATCCTGGTGGCAATTGTCGGCGGACCCCTATTCCTATTTTCTTTGTTCATTTTTTGCACTCTTAACCGTCCTGGACGCACACCTGGTTATGAAAAGGACTTTTCCGTTAGCAAGCTTTCGTTGCCTACAATTGCTAACGTATACTACGGTCGTCGCCCATACTATCCCCTAAAAGGTACTAACTACGACTATATCGGGGCTGCCTCGAGGAGCGGACCGACTGCATCGTCAATGCGTGTTTGAGCAGAGTACCGGACTGCATCCACACATCCTTGGAGTTGAGATACACCAGTCCCACCCACCACGCACACGTTTATGCGCGTACGACCCTCCCGAGACTGTCCTAATTGAGCCTTTAAAAGTGTACATGCCGAAGAAAGATATGCATTCATCAAACCGTCTTATTACGATCACCCCTCCCCCCTCATTCGCATCAGTCTCTCGCTATTTAACAGGCATACTACACGTGTCTTGCGAAAAACAGATCGGCGGGCTCCAGACCTGAAGTAAGATGTCTTCACCGGTCTGTCATCCGACTGGAGTTCATTGAACAACGGGGAAGTGCGTCAATTTGGCGAGGACACATGGATTGCTAGGAAACTGAAGCCAAACATTTGAAGAACTCGGCAAGAAAGGCTTACAATAAACGGGCCCAGCTCCAACAACTGAAATTCTTCACGGTTACCTGGCAAATAAATAAGACCATACCTGAAAGAAGACTTCGGAATGAACGAGTCCTGGTCAGAATCGAGAGCTCTTATTCAAGCAGACACGTGCAAAGACCAAATTTCGAGTTAATTTGAGCGACTGATCGGTGACTTGGGCGTAGTAGGCTAGCAACATTTTTCGTCAGTCGTTTAAGTGCCCCGTGCAAACAACAGGTTCTTCATGGTAGCGCAATTCAAGAGATGGCCGTATGCATAACGTAGGGAACGACAAGTCAACCTAACGCAGGTCTTTAATGAGGCTACTGACCGTTGCCTGATGACGTTAAAGAGCGCATTTGTTCAAGAAAGAACTGTCTAGGCGTAGTGCCAAAAACTGAACGCACTGCAAGTGGTGGACTCCCCGATTTCGCACACAATACAGAAAGTAAAGGTCGAAAAAAATCCCCATGCCCAAGCATTGTTCATCTTCTATGACTGATGACCCGAAGTAAACAAGCGGTGTTTCTCGAAAGATATGCATTTATTAGACAAAAAACTCGGAAAACTGTACAAAAGTGGTTTAAGTCAATTAACGTGTCGTCTGATAGCGAACTTCAAAATCGGACAAACGCCAATCAGTGTAAGGTTCCGTGAGACCCTCTTCCGCAAGACTTTGAGATTCACTAATCATTGCTCCACCCAAACAAACATTACCATGATATAAGGCAGCGTACTGGCCTGAAGCCACACACCGCATGGGCTTTTCCAGGCAGATAGACAGACCTGGTGAGTCAGATTTCGAAGCAATTAGTGCGGGGACAGCGCGCCACTTGTTTTGCCACTGAAAGGTATAATCTGATGATGGAAGTTTTGGGGCATAACCTGACACCCAGATTGGAGAACCAGTCAAACACCGACGCATAAATAAAGCCGGATGTGTAGCCCCACGGACCTGGAAGAAAAAGGCTAAATTTTGATTCGAATAACGGATAGAAAATCCAAATTGAGAACTGAGGATAATAATTCGCATTAACCAGACTCAAATGAACTATTTTCCGGCGCGGAAAGAACTAACAAAACAAAAAAATAAAAAGCCAATAAGCTCGCAGATTAAATTTAGGAAAAACTGTGTACCACCAAAACTTCCTGGGAAGGAACCACCAGTTTCGCGATGTAAAACGGTACTTGGCCCTTGGTTATTCCGGGGACCCGCTGACCAAGGGTAAAGTGGTGCACACCTGAGATGAAAAATACAAAGGAAGCCAACATAAAAATAACGGTCAAGGGGAAGATCGCAAACATGATAAGTGCATCATTACCGGAATGCTCGCCGAGGACCTCCCCCGTTTCGAAATCTCTAAAGACTCCGGGTCTGGGTTCGACATACTGTAAACGAATAACCATTGGTGAAATGGAAATGCAAAGGCATTCTCACATTGTCAATGAAGTCGCGGAATTTCCGTTTGCCAATGAAACAAATCCCCATACTCTGAAAAAGTAGACGTTGGGTAAAGTGCTACACTCCTGGTATAGAAATGACACTTACACCTGACTTGGTGAAGAAGCTAACAAGTAACATGAGTCAACCAAAATCAATGAGTATAATCAGACTTAACGTGCCTCACGTCTCGCGACAATCTTCTCCAGACCGATTTCCTTCGCAATTTTCTTAACCACAGGTTTTGTAAGATTACCGACAGGAAACATGGCACACTGGAGATATTTAGCAGCCACCTATAGAAACCAACGAAAAGATGGGCGGTAAGCTGGAGGAATCCCAAGAGTTTGTAGAGGGAAAGCTGCTTAGATGTCACAGATGTTCAGGATATATACTTGGGTGCCTTAAGGCATAGACGCCTTCCAAATTGACCGAAAACTGTGCAGCGGTTTCGGGAAATATTGTGAAGGCACCACGTCTGAGTGGTATGCTACACACGGCAATGGGGAGACAACCTGCGAATTTTCCCTAACGTGGCCAAGCTTCTTTTCACACTTACACATACTCTTTCGCTGGAATTTAGGACTGCTAAGGCATGGAACCCAACGGCCCCTAGGCAGTAATCTCGAATTTACGCGGAACAGGTTGCAAAGTAGAAAGGTGAACGTCACCGAATATGAAACCCAACCCTCTTCAGTTAAACAGGATAGTGGTCCATCAGAATATATGAACACACCGGGGTAGCGGCCAGTTATATCGACTTCAAAAACGTCCTCGACTTTGTTTCCGGCAGACTATTGTCTAAGATGTGAGGAATCGGGGCAAGGGAGAACTCGTTCTGGAAATGGAACCTCTTCACATATAGATCCTGGTCTGCGTGCATAATTTATGATGAGTCAACCGAAGTATCGGTTATGGGTGTAGTTCCATTATGCTCGGCTTCTTTATATTTGCTCCTTCTAGTCTGTCAGTGATGATCGGAAATAAAAATGGCCATGGAACGGTATTTTCAGACAAGGACGGAATCGGCGAAGATTCGAACTGAAAGATGACAATGGCAACTCACACGGAAACCTTAAACGCATCAGCATTTGCCTAGCAAACAAGCTCCTAAGTTAAAAACCCAAAAGTGACAACAGCCGCCAAAGTTAATTCTCAAAAAAGGCTCTGGAGGGACTCCTGATGGTGTAGTTAAACATGACTGCTATTTACTAACAAAGTCATCCCAAAGACTCTTTCTCATTTCATAAAGGCTACCCAAAAGACAACTGGCGAGCTAAGTTTCAGAGGACAATTTAACTCTTGACTCACAGCAGGTGGTTTAGTTCAGGAAACGTTAGCTGAGAATCTAGAGTGTGAGTTAGGTTAGAAAGGATTACTTGGGTGGAACTACAGAACCCATTGTCATGAAGCATAGGCCACAGATATTTCGGTTACGCCAAGGTAGGGCTTTTTGAACGCCACTTTCGAGCGCCTGTAAAAACCACACGTGATAGAATGAACACCGACTTATATTGTTTACTACAGGCTTTCGATACCCAAAAAGGTCGAAAACATCTTTCCTAGAAGGCATGCACAAAATATCCTTTCCTGCACTCACTCTGTACATTTTATTTTCACTTTTCTTCACTTGAAGACAGAGTACCTTCCAGTTTCGAAAAGTTCTCCGATTCTCGTACAATAGAGAATGTCTCACATAGGACCCATAACATTTCGCATTGGATGTGAACCACGTCGAATGCTTTATAAGAACTAGTGTCGAACGGCCAGAGATGATGCTATTGGAGTAGACATTTTATGGCCTTAAAAGATTTCGTGAATACTAACTTTTAAGTCGAAATTTATGTCCCTTCGAGTAGGGAACTTAAAGATGATATTTACTACAAAAGAAGGGAAAGAAAGTCTATTTTTGTAGTGTTTTGTATAAAATAAATTTGGATTTACGCATCGAAAGTAAATAAACATGCCACTTAAATAGTTATTTTTTGCGAGTGATTTTTGCAGGCGGCCGGAAAGACATATTTAATGTCCGAAATCCTGGCGTGGCTGAAATATCTTAGGATTATACGGCAAGATAAGCAATGTCCACTGAAATTCTGCTTAAGTAATTATTTCTAACCAAGATCATACTTCAGAATTTCAGTTAACCCTTTACGGGACAGGTCACCTAGTGTGGAATTCAGTTACAGCGATGAGGGGACAGTGAAAGAGATGGAGAACCTGGGGACAACAAGTTGGTAAATATTTTCGGAGGAAGCACTGAGAATGTGAACACCAGCAGCCGCCTCGTTGGCTGCCAGGAGAAAGTAGTAGTCAGGTAAGCAGGCACACTTTAGTTGAGGGGAAAGTACTTTCGATGTAGTAATTTACGGGGGAGATTTTAAATAGTGGAACCAACTAAATAGCCCCAACAAAATCCCGTGGAATATGGTAAGGCAAGTGCATATCAGTGAGAGTTACCAGAAGGCTACCATACTTGATTGTCAGTTATGATAGCCAAGAAATTGCCGGTTGGGAAACTTTCGAGCCAATCTTTTAGAAGTCGCGATAGCCAATGACGCCCAGTTTCATTATAGTTAGGAAGTGTTACCGCCTCATTACATCATTCTGCGCTGCGTTCGTACGTGATACAACTGTGGTGGTGTCTGATCTAGACGGAAACAATGATGCCGAGGACTGCACCCCTTAACAGGGTGACGATCTGCACCAACGAGGCCCAAAAACCGAAGATCTTTGTGGAATGTGTCGAACGGGCAATGCACTTAAACTACTTCAAGCCTGTTTTTGGAGGGTCAGAGACATCCTCGCAAGGTGTTTGTGGAAGTGCAAACTATAATATTCGACAACTTATTGTAATTCGCTAGAACGACCGTTTTCATGCAACTTGGTCAAATGTCTCTAGTTCTTCTTTTTTATCCACGAATAAAGCGTAGAAAATACAACTGTACGGGAAATGCACTTTGTGCAGGAACTGTACAACGTATATAAACCACCGGACTTAGAGACCTCGTATGGCACGATAAAACGTACTAATTAGGGCGATGACATTTTCCGGCATGCCGTTTGGCTCCATTGTCTATTACAGGAACTCGCAACGAACAGGAACTAACACAGAGACGCAGTCAACAAAGCAGACGCTCATCGATTGTTGACAGCCATGGTGGAGTTGAGGAATGTGCTGGCAGTTTGGATATTTGGCGCATGCATCCGCATCCACCAGGGAACCCAACTTAGTTGTATCTTGTCCTCCAGCCACGCAAACACTGAAACTGCATGAGAATAACAACAAAGATCTTTATTAGTTATTCTGCGACAGTTCTCACACTTCGTCTTTCTTGAAGACGGATACAACAGTAGTCGAGTCCCAGTCCTCAAGACCGATCTCGTCTACCCATAACCGTTCAACGACTCAATGAAACAGGGACTCTAGAGAGCCTGTCTTAGTCGTTTTATTGCACAGCCTTATAATTGCGGTGGACGTGGTCACAGAAAACAGCAATCCTCGGTATGAAAAATAGGTGGTGACCGCTTGCTCAATAAAGTCGGGAAGGCATCTAAATCACTAACGCAAGCTACGGTGCTTGGCTAAGTTGTCAGCAATCAGGTTTTCATAGGCGTCACGAACAGTCACTCAGTATCTGAGACTTATAATTGACCTGTCGTGCATTTCAAGTGTTGTACAGGTCTGAGGTTCCCCCGCAGAAGTCGCTACTTCAAACCACTAATTTCGGAAATCTTCTCAGCCAAAGTGGTTGTTACTTTCCGAAATTGGCGGAAGGAATCTTCGTTATGCTACCTGGTTCTAGCTGTCTGGACAAGCAACTGTAAGATTCTTGTTCCTATTTAGTCCTTGCGATACTGCTGGATGAATTCGATAATAATCTTAGCTGTGTTGCAGATTGGTGACTTTAATGGAAGCCATTAGCTGTTTTTCCTTCGACTCAGGTTGTGATGTGAGACCGGAAACATGACTGCGGTAGGATGCCGTAATTTTACGAAATAACGGGATCTTCCAAGAGGTACTTCGAGCGCGGACAGAAGTTTAATTTCCAGGCATATGTGGACGATAAAGTGAGCTGACCCGTAAGAAATGTCGGTTTCCGCAACATGCATCGACTTGCTATCATGCATCCAACTTCAAAATCATGGACTGATTAAAATGCAGACAATATGGCCGATCGTGCGACCAGCTTTGGAATGCTGGATCAGTCAATGTTTGCAACGATGTGAAAACACATGCCGGCGACAAACGGCCGGTTCTCATCAGTGAGGCTCAACAGTGCCGCACCCAGAATCATGCCTAAAGCGACTAATAAGGCATTTTTAAAAAGTCGCCTGACCATTACAGCCATCGGAAACAATGAGGGCTGCTCGACCAACCCTTGGTCGGAGTTTAGGTTGGTGAGTGGAGAAAAAGGACAGACGCTAGCAAAATGCTTTTCAGTCATAAGTACCCCGGGCGGTCATTGAATAGTTGTCGCGCAAGCAGTGCATGGCGGCTACGCCATACATGCCTGAATTTGTGGGTCACTATGATAGAGATACTAATTTCGCCGGTCTGAATATTGGATTCGGATTTCAGTCGGGTGGTAGACACCAACGTTGTGCTGATGACTTTAGGTACCAGGGTGCAGGGACGTTGGAATACTCTATCATTTGACACCAAGAGTCCGTATAGTCGCCTGTACGACTGAACCAGGGTTGTGGAGAACGTCGGCTTCCACGGACGCTGTGGCACAGCTCGTATTATTTAGAGCGTCTAATGCAGGCCTCCTAAATTGTTTGTTTAAGGATGTCTGCTCTACCGTCTTGGCTTTATGAAACAGAACCACAAAGTAACGATGACAAGCAAATTAATTAAATGGTTTTTCACGGTCACGACGTCACGATGCTGCCATCAGACATCGCAATGTAAGACAGCGTGCCAGACCTCAGTCCCCCGCACCCTGGTAGGACTACCGCCACCAGTCAGCGACTGCTTATTCGTCAGGCCTGAATGTGGTGATTTTTCAGATAACTTGCAAAGGTGGCCATTCTATGATGCTCCCCCCGTGAACACGCTCAGCAGCCAGCAGCTGCGTTAAAGAGGAGACTTATTTTCTTGGCACTGCTTCTGAATAGAACCGAGGTCAATAAACCTGCTTCTATACGATGACTGTTTCTCGCATATAAAAAGAATATATTCCATCGGCCAAAAAATCTAGTAATACGCCCCTTTC